GGGGGAAATGAGCAGCTGATATTAAGGGCTAAAGTGGAAGGCAAATGTTTTGAGAATGATGATGGCAATAAATGTACATATGTGCTTGACACAATGGATGGATGTATGGATGGTGATAAGAATTGTATGAGCCCCCAATAAAACGATTTAAAAAAAAAGTTGGCCAAGAGTAAAGCCCAGGGCCCATGGAGAAGGAATAGAGAGAGAGGTAGGAAGGGTTCAGATTGTGAAAAATCTTGATGGTTATACTAAAGTCGGATGTCTTAAGATGAGACTCTAGAATCGAGAGTGTAGATAAATGGCTTTCAAAAAATTGTTTCCAGCAGTGGGATTTCCAGCCCACAGAACATGGTAGAAGGCAAGGAACCACATAGCTGAGGGTCTGAGGACTAGAGAGAGACATGGCTGAGAAGAGCTGTCCTACACCAAGGAGCGGAATCCTTGCCAATTTATAAGATGCTAGCTTCTCTAATAAACCCCATAATCATGAGAGAGAGAGAGAGAGAGAGGTCTTGGGGAAAATGACACTCCCTTCTGAAAAAGACACATACTCAAACTCTCCACAGACTTGAGGCACACAAGGCATGTGAAGAATCATATCTTTCCTGAGGAGAGTAGAGAGTGCTGGGGACAAGGTATGGGAAATGGTCCCCTCTGGAAGGCGATGTGAATTGTGCTCTGCAGGATATAGCGCACATCTCCGAGGGCTGGGAGAGCGTTCTTCCTTCCTGGAGAGCCAATAATCGTAGGAAGGCAGCTTGTGCCTCCGTGGTAGGCTGCACAGGAGCCCTGGTGGTGTAGTGAGCTATGTATTGGGCTGTTCCTGGGAAGTCAGTGGTTTGAAAGCCCCTGCTGCTCCGTGGGAGATGAGGATTTCTACTCCTTTAACGATTTTACGGACTGGGGGAGTTAGAATTGACTCCATAGCAGTGAGTTTGAAGGGTTTTTTTGTTTTTGTTTTTTTGAGGAAGGAATCAGATCTTTTTCTACAAAAGTGGTAATATTTGCACTTTTTTTTTTCAGAAGGAGGAAGTGGGCTTGGAAGCTTTAACTCAAGAGGGCCCATCCGTCGGTGAGTCCCGCCCTTTGTGTAGAATCCTATTATTTCAAGGGGGAGGAGACTCTTTCACTAAGTCATCTTCCCATTCAGTGATCAGCCCCAACATTCAGCTCATTAGGTGACTGCCAAATAGCTAACTGGTCAGAGGAACGCAGTCAATCCTGCTTGCCCTTCCGTTTTCTGCCTGCTCTCCTAGGAAGAGACCCTGGACCCGTGTCCCTCACACCCTCCTACTTTTGCACCCGCTGCTGCCCGCGACCCGCCCGGCGACTGCTCACCTTGTGCTGCTTCCACATGGCTCCCAGGGGCTTCACTTCGTGCTTGCTGTGGCGACCTTCCTCCAGGCACTGGTAACACACGGGGGTGCGGCAGCTCACGCAGTACATGCTGTAGTTCTCCATTTCGTGCTCCGGGCACGTGGGAAACTTGCGGGTCGCGCTGCCCCCGGATGCCCCAGCGCCTCCAGGGCTCTTGCAGCCACCGCCTCCGCTGGGGGCGCCCTGGGCCGCGCCGGGCGGCCCCGCGGCTGTCTCGGCAGGCGCCGGCGGCGGCGGTTGCACCAGGCGGTGCTTAGCAAAGGGTCCCCGGGACGGGTGGCACTTGAGCTGGCACGCGGCGCAGTAGAGCACGTCGCACTGCTCGCAGAGTG